GTGTGTGTGTGTGTGTGTGTGTGTGTGTGTGTGTGTGTGTGTGTATGTGTGTGTGAATGTTACATCATAGGACAGATTCATAAAGCATACTTACAACCTATGACAAACTGGATGTTAAATCGACTCTAAATTAGATTAACTGTGTCCTCAATTAATTAGGCTGTTAAATTATCATCAACTGAGGCATAAACACGTCTCTAGTGATGCTTTTCAACTGATTTGGTGATACCAGTAGAAGGTCACCAAAATGCAATTGCCTGCATGTCTGAAGTTTTCCGCCAAATACTGTAGATGTGCTATTTTTACTCAGCTGCCCCAAAGCCACAGCAGCAGAACAAGAAGATAACATCAATAAAACCTCTAATTGTGTTAATGATGTATAAATACTGACATGTATATAAATTTATACTAGTTTAATTGTGCCTGAAATGTGACAAAAACCAATTAGAACGATTATATAAAATGGTTGTGATGACCTCTGTAATCGTCCAGACCTATTTGTAATGTCTTTCACGATGACGCAGAAAACATCTTGGCTGAATGAGAGACATGTTGAAACATTTGTAAGGTCTCAAACTTGGTAAATATCTAAATGCACTAAAGATCATTCAAAATGCTGTTATCTGAACATGGTGGTCCTCATGATTGTTAGGTTTAGTTTTTTATGTCGCAATGCGAAGATACAAATCAAGACATGGTTGTCTTCTTTGAGCAACTTCAGCTGTATTTATTGTGAAAATGTGGATTTAAATACAGAGGAGTATATTGCCGGGTATAATAAGGAATTGTTATCAATGCCACAACACAGACATACAGTAGTTTTTATGATTTTTAGGTTTAGGCATGACTCTGTCTTTTGAAGTAGACTGGAATCAACACCATGGCTCACTTTCAAGCAATGCCAATTTCTGAAAACCTGCTGCTCTTCTGTAGCCCTGGTCCCATATGCATCCTGTTCAGTCCATATGCAACTGAGGATGTGACTCTGTCTCTTTGTTCTTTTGCCATTTAAACAGAAAAAAAATCTGTTTTAGTTTTGGTAAATTATTTATGTAACCCTTATTTGATCCAACTTACAGTCATGGTTAAAATAAAAAAAGGACACACTTTTTGAATTTCGAAGTTTTATGTACCAGAATGTGATAAAAAGGAAATAATGTCAAATGATTTTGGTTCTAAAATGAAATACAATATCAGATAATCAACAACACGTACTTTTGTCTGTATTAATAGAATCAAGATAGAATACAAAAACTGTGCTGCATACTATTCTAATAGCTTGAAATATTCACCTACTTTATGATCATAGCCGCCTCTCATTATTGTGGAGGGGTTCATTTACACAGGTATCAAAGGATTTCAGTCAGGCTGAGATTAGCTCTGAGGTGTACAAACAGGATTCTCTTAAACAATAAAATAACCAGAGGTAAACCAAATGTTTTAAAGTGGGGCTTGCCTTTATCATTTTAAAAATAAATCTTAAAAACCCATTTCTTCTCATTGGCTTTAACAGGTTGAGACCTTACCTTTTAGCACGAGGGTCGATGATGGTGTGGTGATGTCGTGCTTTAACATTCAACATGCTAACTGAGGCACCGAGGTCTGCAAAGTCTAATCTGAGGTGAAGTTGCTGAGATTTTTATCCCTGCTTTTACGTAATAGAATGAAGTTCTCCAAATTGTTTGGAAATGACCTTCCAGTCATCACCAGACGCAGGTGGCCAATTTAGCTTCTGTAAGATTGGTGTTGATGCCGCTTTTCTGGCATTGCATAACTGGTCCAGACCGGAAAAGTGCTAACACTTCAGCTGTAATGAAAGCTCTTAGACCTGCTGTTGATTATTTAATCAAATATTAAATCATGTTATGAGAACTCAAGGAATATTGAGTATCTTGTGAAGTTACACTTTTGCATAGCTTTAACATATAAAGAAATATTTTAATTTTCAACACATCAGCATCAGATTTTTAGCAGTAGCAGGACTTTAAAATAATTTTGCAAATGTATCAAAGACCAAACACTTTGTAATTAATTTAATTTGTAACCTTTAAAAAAAGAAAAAAATGTTTGTTTATTTATTTATTTATTTATTTATTTATTTATTTATTGCCTGCATTAAGCCTCGGCCAGTCGTTGCTGGTGCAAGAATGTGTTGTAAATATTAGTTGTAAATAAAGATTTTTTGAAAAAAAAAATTTTTTTTAAAAGATTGCTACATAAACCAAAGAAACCGAAATGCAGACTTGGTCATTCCATGAAAGTTAGCTTGTTCATCAGGTTGATGAACCTTAAAGATCTTATTTTTAGTGACTGACTGATCACTTCGTGCTGTAGCAAACTGTCTATGCCTTTTGTTAGTTTACCATCAGAAAACAATGTTTGTTGGAAGCGGAGCTAACAGTTATGCTAATGTTAGCTACAGTATATTGCATTAAATTTCATCATATTAAATCACTGAATTATAGTAATAATCTATCATTTTTTTTGTGCATAAGTTGATCGTTTGGACAGCCAGATCCAACAAGATTTCAAACAGGGTGTATTTTTTTTCTTTTTTACTTGTATGCATGAATGTCACTTAACCAGAGTTATTCTTTTGTTTATTTTGGATTTGCAAAGCTTTGTCTACACCCTGCAGAGCAGGTTAACAGCCCCTCATGCTGAGGGAGAGGCTGCTATTTTGACTTATTTGTACATTAGCTATTTGTCTAAAAGACTACTTGCAGTTTAAATTGTATTTAATTTCATGTTTTTAATGATCACATGTATTAATGGTAGCAATACATGTGATTAAGCTGCTAAGCTTAAGTTTTATGGGCCGTTATTTTAATTTGCTGTGGGAACTTGTTATGTTAAGGCAGCAGGGTGACATTCACAAGTGTGAGCACGTGAAATGAGATGTGTACTGGAGCTGGCATAGGAAGCATAGATGGATGTTGTGACAGAAATAACAGTGACTAATCAGTTAATCGAAAAAATAATCAACAGATTAATCGACTATCAAAATAATAGGTGTACCCCTAAACTGAAGCCAAATGGCATTGCAATTAATGGCTGTTTTGATGGATTAATCAGTCATTTGATGATTGATCAGTCGTCATATCGTGGACAAAATCATATTACACTAACAGTGACCCAAAAGTAATTGCAAACAATTCCATAAACACAGAGGCACGCTTTAGAGGCTGTTCACAGCAGGTGCTAGCGCATGGAAAATGACTTTTTTCATAATAAAAAAACTCATAGTCTGTCTCTAATATTTGGTTGTTACTTTGTATAAACTGTTTGGTTTAACTTTGAATGGTGGAAACTAAAAAAAGTTTTATTTTAGACTATTGCAGTACAACAGAAAAGAAAGAAAAAACATTTAGTGGGTATTTATCAAAAGCAGATTTTGTTGAAGCTGAGTCCTTTCTGTTCAAGCCCACGTTTAACATTAAATCTATTTATTTCTATGTGTGCAAACTGGAAATTGTTGAAGTTCGTGTTTCAAAACGATACATTTTTTTGAAAAAAAAAAAAAAAGAAGCAAAACTTTTGGAAAGAAGGAACACTCTGGGTAGAGAGAGAAGGGCAGCAGTCTCTAGGATGTGGGCCCCTTTGGTGAAGCGTCGTTGTCAGAGCCGGAGATAAACTGCAGCTCCTGGGAGTGCCCCAGATCTGACAGAAACATCCCCCTCCATCAGTCACGTCATCTGACTCAGTGAAGGAGTCTATGCCCTGCTCGCGGTCACACTAACCAGGAGACACAAGCTGTTCCTCTCCAGGTGCTCATTAATGCACTTGTCCTTGATACCTCCACCGTACAACAACGCAAAGACAAACACACGCCTGCCGTGTTCTAATTACACCGGTGTGCGCATAAACACTCACAAGGATGTGCATCATACATTTCACTAAGAGACTTGTAAATGTCAAACGACGACAGACATCCCTTCGCGTCTCCCTCCTGCTGTTTTTAGTCTTTTTCACTTTTTTTCCCCCTCGTCGTTTGTTGGGATGGGTTGTTGTACAGCAAAAAACATGAAGAAAAGTTGAAGCCTTTGAAGTAGGGGACGTTGGAGACAGCTGATAGCAGAGGCAGCTCTGGAGTGGAGCACCAGCCTGGGAAAAATTCATCAAGCCTCCTCAGCAATTAGCATATGGGCCTAATTATCATATGAAACCGAGCTTCCATAACCAGCCCTGGCCTCCAGTATGACTTTCTATCCATCTACATTATCACCCATCCAACTGAAAAATGGTGAGCAAAGACGACCCTGGTATTGTCTTACGCCTCTCCGCTCCGAGGCCTGCTTGAATAACTACTCTACCGCCAATGTTCCTTTTTTCCATTATGCAGTTAAGCCAGACAGTTAATTATCCAGTAGCAGGGAGGCCAGGTCTCTTTGCTGGCTGCGATAACGATATGCTTTGCTGGGCAGGGAATGAAGAGGGCCAGCCCATAGGGAACCAGGCTGATGTCAGGCAATCTTTCAAAAAAAAAAAAAAGACCCAGGCAATTAGATGCACCACTGCTACCAGGGATGACTCGTGTTATTGAAGATACTGGCTAGCTTCTCTAATGGGGGTATTTAGGGCAATTACGATAAAGATGTCAGGGCGACCTCCCTGCGACTGTTCCTTTTACAAGAGGTGCCTCTGAGTGCAAGATCACAGAGCAGAAATAAGACTAAAGACGAGGCCAGTCCCACGCGGAAGCTTTGCCACAAGCAGAGCAGCACTTAAGACTCAGGTCTCATGTGAAAGTTACTGTCTAGAGGTGCTAAATGGGCTAATCCACTGTCAGAGTTGCATTTTATGGGAATTTCGGAGTCATTAATGACAGTCTCAAGAAAATAAACATGCTAGTGTTCAGTTAAAAGGGGTAAAGCCCCCCTGATTTGTTTCCATTTGGCATTATATCCATTTAGCACATTTGGCTCGGGAGACATGAAGGACTGTTATTATTTAATGGACGAGGGAAGATGACTATCTGAAAGGTAGCAGAGCCCCACGAAGGGGCCTTTGAGGTGGCTACTGTAATACACTCGGAATTGGTTCCACATTTACCTCGGCCATCACCTTTTCCACTAGTGGCATCCACCACCTCACATCAAAGTCACAGCTCAAGGACATAAGAGCTACTGGTCATCACACACACTTGAAATCAGCCAGTCCATTGACTGCGTTAGCATATGCCATCCACATGGCTGGCATGACACTAAACACACACACACACACACACACACACACACACACACACACACACGGAACAATGTTTGAAGTAGGTTCAAAGAAGCAAAAGCAGAAGAAAAGAGCAACGTGGATGAAGCATGTATCCTCTTATTTAAAACAGCCAAACAGCTGGTCGTGTTCTTATAAAGTGCACAGTGTGCCGCCGTGAATGGTTTCAAACCATGTCTGTGGATCATAAAACTTGCTCTGTGTAATAACCTCCCAGGATAGACATTAGACAGTCAGGAAACAGCTACTTCGCTGTCCAGATGAAGAAAAGCTCTAAAGTGATACCAATTTTTTTGAGTGAATGTTTCTTTTTGTTCTGCTTTAAACCATTTATTGCATTAAATTCATTCAATAAGTTACTGAAAAATATATCTGCTTAAGATTAAACTTAAAAACAGTATGACCCTGACTGTGTGGCTTCATTCAGTATTAATATCACCTCATTCAGATTTTTATGGTCCTTATTTTGGAGCCCTTTAACCAAACTAATAGTTTTGATCAACCTGACAGTCTAACACATTTATCATTTTTTGGGGCTGTAATGTCTTAACTTGGATCGCATGATGTTTTTACATACAGAATCAAGATTTCAGCATGGCTATAAGTTTAGGACTAAAGAAAATCCATCCATCCATTTTCTTCCGCTTAATCCAAGTCAGGTCGCAGGGGCAGCAGCTTGAACCGGTAGGCCCAGACCTCTCTATCCCCAGCCACCTCTTCCAGGAGGATTCCAAGGCATTCTTGAGCCAGCTGAGAGACATAGCCTCTCCAGTGTGTCCCGGGTATTACCCGGGGTTTCTTCCCAGTCAGACACGCCCAAAGTACTTCCCTAGGGAGGAATCCAGGAGAGAACCTTACCAGACGTTTGAGCCACCTCATCTGGCCCTTCTCAATGTGGAGGAGCAGCSGCTCTACTCTGAGTCTCTCCTTGATAACTGAACTTCTCACACTATCTCTAAAGGCCTCCACACGCTCCATCTGAAGTCAAACAGTTAATGCACGGTCACGTAGTTGTTCGACGTTCATTTTTACACACACCTTTCATAGCCCCTGAGACACACTGCGTCTAGCTCCTGGAAAACCCCTCCCACCATGGTATTTGTCCCTACACAGGGTTTGTTCCCACTGGAGTCTCCTAACGATTTTGGCAGTTCAGATGGAACACGCAGAGGCCTTAAGGGAGAGTTCAGCTACTCTGCAAAGAAAACTGATTTTGACCGCTTGTATCCATAATCTTGTTATTTCAGTCTCTACCCAAAGTTGGTGGAGGTAGGAACATAGACTGATCAGTAAATAGAGAGCTTTGCCTTACTGCTCAGCTCTCTTCACCACAACAGTAGAGTCTGCAATACCTCAGAAGCAGTACATCATGTTCCATTCTTCCCTCATTCGTGAACAAAACCCAAAGATACCCGAACTCTTCTACTTGAGGCAGAACCTCACCCAAACCCAGATTGAGCAATCCACTCTTTTCCGACAGAGGACCATAGACTCAGATTTGAAGGTGCTGTTCCTCATCCCAGCCGCTTCACACTTGTCGCTCCAGTCAGAGCTGAAGACTGATTCAGTGGTGAGCCACAACAATGTTAGAATCCAACAGTCGGTCTGCTTTAGATGCATGCCTAGCTAGTGTAAAGTTGTCTTTCATATGTGTTTGCGCTTCTGCCTTATACTGTACGCCATGATCGGTTTGGAGTTTCATCCAAAAACCTCTGCTTTACGTTGGTTTCTGTAGCTGCTTCACTGAAAGGCAACTGAAAAT